ACATAGATTCTCTATGTGAGCAGTTGTGGAATTCTGCAATAATCTCTATCTGTTGCAAAAAGAAGCTTCTCTATAATTTAATAATGTTTAACTTCTATTTAAAAAAGCAATCTGCTTACTAGGTATGGTGGTGTATGATTTTAATTCCATCACTCAATAGACAGATGCAAGTGGATCTCTGTGTGTTTGATCTCTGTGTGTTTTCTACTTGCAGAATTCCTGGCCAGCCAGAGTTACGTAGGGAGACAATGTCTCAAAAGAAAACAAAAACAGCAATTTTCCAAATCAATGCAAGTTTCAGATAGCTTAGAAAAGACAATAGACTGTTATACCTCAGGACAATGGGATATAAAGGACAAGAACAATATTTTAATCAAACACAATAATTTTTTTCCTCATCAATTGATTGAGTTCTGTGTAGTTAATTTTTGTTCCACTGGATCCTACAACCAGTTCACAAAGCTGAACTAAGCTTAACCTCTTAACTATAATCAGTTGTGGAACACATGACTCTTCATGGAGATGTTCTCTGAGTTATATTAGAATCTGTTTTGGGTTTTGAAGTACCAAACATCAGCATTTTCTCATGACTAAAAACATAAAAGTGACCTGATGCTGGCTATAAAGCCTTCAGGAATGTACCACAGTGAAATAAAGTTATCTAAAATGATAAGTTAGATAATGTAACTTAAAATAAAATTATCTTCAAAAGGATAAAATTTGATCACGGGTTTGTAACTAACATTTGGAGGTTGACCTCAGTGGGTCACAAAACCAAATAAAAAGACATGAACATGGTAGTTTTGTAGGTAGGGAAGAGTAGATGACAGGGGATGGGACAAAGAGGAGAGAGAGTAGTATAATAATCAGAATTATTATATACATGTATGAAATTGTCAAAGAGCAAGTTCAATTAATATAAAATCTTTTCATAGTATACATTAAAAAATAAAAGGAGGAGCTGGAGAGATGGCTCAAGCATTAAGAGCACTGATGGCTCTTGCAGGGGATGCAGGTTCAATTCCCAGTTCCAGGAGAACCTGATGTCTTCTTCTGATCTCTACAAGCATTGCAAGACACAGGAGCTCTTACATGCACGAAGGCAATACACTCATACACAGAAAATAAAAATAAATAAAATTTTTAAAAAGGATAGACCTAATTTTCTTACGACAAATTCTAAATAATTCAACTGAGGAAAAATGTGATTGTTTCCCACACATTCAGGGTCAGGCACGGTTCTATCTCTGTAACTCCGTTCCTTTGATGGGTAGAGAATATAAGCCTTTTGTGTGCTTTCTTTGGACGCTATCTTCAGCATCAGATTTCTGCATTCCTATTAAACACACTAATTCTGCAAATGAGAGTGAGCCTAGTCTGATGTTCTGACATCAGAAAGGAGGGGCACACGTGTCTCTTGGGCACATGATCTCCATCCAGGGCTTAGCCTAGGACCACTGTAACTGTCAGTTGACAGTGAAGCAGATGAGAATGCTTGATCCTGCCAAAATCTCCATGACAGAAAAGAGATATTTCCTATCTAAAATATAAGAAAGTAATTAAGTGATTGATAATAGGTCAGATGACAACATTGTTAGTATCAGAGGTAAAGTTAAAACCAGCTTTATCTTTTTAAATCTGAATTTCATAATCTCTCTCTCTCTCTCCCTCCCTCTCTCTCTCTCTCTCTGCTTGCTTGCTCGCTCTCACTCTAACTTCTGTCTTTCCTATCCAGAATCAGAACATGAGATCTGTAACTAGAATCATCCTAATATCTCAAGCCTAACCCTTCCGCATGGGCAATATAGATTTCTCCCCTTAACACGTGCCTCTTTTTCCTGATGCTCCAGTAATGGGACTCCCAAACCCTCTGGTCCTCCTGCTCTCCTAACAGCCAATGAACTCTCCGGGGAATTATCAGCACAGTCAGGGCCCTTGGGGAGGACCTGTAGGCACTTCAAAAGGACCATGCATTTCACACAGGAACTGTTCTTGCTGCTGAGCTGCAATCCAGCCTCAGTTCTGCAGTGCAGCATGCCCCTTAATCTCTTTTGTCTCCTGCTGTTGGTCCTCAGGTATGTACTGCAAACAGAACCACATAGAAAGAAGTCAGGACCAGAGGTAACTGGGCTCATAGGTCACATGGGCTCTCCCTCCTAGTGCAGTCCCTATACTAAAAGCATTTAAGGTTCTTGAAGAAGGTGCTATATAAATACAAAATAATATCTATTAAAGTTGGTTTATTTGTGAAAAAAAAAAAAAGTCAGGACCAGAGGTAGCTGGGCTCATAGGTCACATGGGCTCTCCCTCCTAGCACAGTCCCTGTAGTATGTTAGTAAAGGTTTTGAATGGAAGCTGTATGGACATGGGACAGGAGACCTAAAGGTGTAGTCTTAGTTTTGTCACTTAGTATGTTTCTCTACAAAGCATGTTCATCCTGTTTAACCTCGTGTCTGTTTTCTAATCAGAATATAGGTCTCTGATCATTAAAATTGGAACTGTAATCTATACTTTCCTTACATAAGCTACTATTCTGATAGTTAATTATTAAGGTGAATTTTGTAGCACCTTGGAACATTCAAGTTGTATAGTAATGTATGGTTATGGTCTTCCTGGGAAGAAACTGCCCAACTTCTTTTATGCCAAAAGTAGCAAAACAGAGGAGGAAAGAGAGGAAAGGGGAAATGGCAAGAAATAGAGGAGGCAGAATAGAGAGGGGAGCAAGCGCGAAGGAGAGAGACAAAAGGCCAGAGCTTAACACAACCAGTCCTGTAGCCTCTTATCCACCCCTGCTGTGACCCTGTAGCTAGGTACAATAAAAAGCATGTCTCTGTCTTTAACAATTCCTTCCTATTCAAACCAAATGAGAGGGAAAGAGGCAGGAATCCTTTTCTTCCTTTTGTTTCTCTGATTCTCCCTCTGTCTCTCATTATTCTAATTTTATGCTGTCTTCATTTTAACAATTTCCAGTGTGCAGATCTAAGCTCCTGACTCCTCTTTCCATAACGCACTTCCTAGCAATTTATCCACACTCAGTACTCTAGGGAAGAAGCTCTCAACTCACACCAAACATCAGTGTGCATAATGTCTCCCAGCTACTACGCAGGAATTGCTTTTGGAATCTGATTTCAGCATGCCCTAAACTTAACTCAGCCCCCCAAAATGCATTTCTTCTCTAATATTTCCAGCCTTGGTTCATCTACAATTATTCATATAACTGAAAGTGCTACAAACAGACTTCTTCAAGTTAGGCAACTCAGAGTTTTAAGCTTAATTTTGAATTGTCTAATACTTGTAACAGCTAATTTTCCATGCAATGGCAGTAAAAGTACAATGAAAGCCAGCATACCACCAGCATTTGGAATTCATACTCCGTTTTTTTTCCTGCTTCTTTCATCTTAACCATATCATTCTACCTCTCCATGTTTTGCAGGACTAGAACTGATGTGACAGTATTGGTGTCAGAGTGAATAACAAGCATTCAGTAAAATAGCACATATGGCAAACACTACTTTAAGTTTTCCAAAACCTGTGTGGAAATGTTAGTCATACTACACTTGCACACATAGGACACAATAGAGCATTTTGCAGTATTGGTTCTGAAAGCAGATCAAAGGACCACCTTCTCATGTAGTATAGGAATCCATGCCTGGAAGTCCTATCCACCCAAGCCCCAGAGGCATAGCGCATTCTTCATTCTCTAGATTGGAGTCTCTCCTAGTCATTTCCATTGTTTCTCCTTTGTTTCTTGTTCATCAGACTCTTCTGCCTCCCTATTTCTCTGTAAAGTCCTAGTTTATCCACTCTGAAACTAGAGACACACATCTCTCCTGATGTCTCCCAGGTCTAACCCTCAAACTCTCTCTCCTACAATGTTTTCCAAGGCCTCACTTGCCACTAAGGAATCCCTCAGTTCTGGGCTTCAGAATTACATTTACCATATGACTTCTCACCCACTGCTGCGGAAAGTTAACACTGGGCATGAGGGGCCACAGCCATCTTCAATTCATGGCACTGTTTACCTGCAAAAGACCTTTACAAGATAAAGCCTGTTAAAATTTCCTTGTGGAAAAAGTGGTGAGAACATCAAGCTCTCACCTGAAATTAAAGTTACTCAGCCCTCCTGCACTTCCCCAACCCAAGGTGCTCGTGGTCTTGGGAGGTTCTAGAGCATATAGTGGGAGGAAGGTTAGCTAGAGGGCTATGGAGCTTTGGAGAGTCAGCACCCATTCTAGTGTGGGAATTTTTAAGTGTACAGATGTTTGGAGGTCACCTACACACTTGTAAACAATCCTTCACCCACGCTCTGAAACTGAGCCCAGTAAACTGGTTGGTTCACCAAGCTATACTTGGTGGCAATCATTTTTTTTTTTTTTTTTTTTTGGTTCTTGGTGCCCATCTGGGGTAAATAAACATTTCTTTATATCACCACAGGAAAACTAAAGTAGCACCCACATATAGCTGTCATAGATACAGTAAATATACTACTCTGCTCATAAGCCTCAAGTTCAGAGATGTCAACAAACATCTACTAAACATTTTTGAAAATCTCCCCCATAAGCTACGTAACTTAGAATGAAAAAAAATACCCAGACAAATTACTAAATATTTGAAGGCACATTATGAACAGCTAACTCTAGTAGGTATTCATGCATAGTGACTTGCAGAGACAGTTGCCACATATATGAGGTGTTTATGCATGTTTTAGCATGTTGGGATGAAACACACCTAAAAGTTCTGTCTGAGGTTACCTCATTGAGCCTTGGAGGGGTCAACAGTACAGAACATGCCTCCCTAAAGCTAAATTTCACAGCATGCATAGCTTATAGCAACCTGCTATGGTCATGCACCTCATCACTCTAGAAAAGGGTAGTAAAGTCTTCTAGTTGCAGACCCCTCCTGACTCCCTGGTCCTGCACATTTAGTTGACAGAGGATTCAGCTCTGTTCCACTCTGAATCTATTCTATGCCGTAGGTTGATGAATACAAGGTTGTAAACCATGATCATCCTTTACAACACTAGCCTCCAAAAAGCCACTTTCTTCCTGACGGGTTTTCAAGGTCTAGAAGAGATCCACAGCTGGATCTCCATCCCCTTCTGCTCCATCTACCTGACTGTTATTCTGGGGAACGTTACCATTCTCCATGTTATCCGAACTGATGCCACCCTCCATGAACCCATGTACTATTTCTTGGCCATGCTGGCCCTCACAGACTTGGGCCTTTGCCTGTCTACACTGCCCACTGTGCTGGGCATCTTCTGGTTTGATGCCAGAGAGATTGGCATCCCTGCCTGTTTTACTCAGCTCTTCTTCATCCACACCTTGTCTTTAGTGGAGTCATCAGTTCTCTTATCTATGTCCATTGACCGCTACGTGGCTATTTGCAACCCATTGCGTTACTCCACCATCCTGACTCCCAGACGGATTGTCAAGATGGGGCTGAGCTCAGTGCTGAGAAGCGCTCTCCTCATCCTCCCATTGCCATTCCTCCTCAAGCGCTTCCAATACTGCCGCTCCCATGTGCTGGCGCATGCCTACTGTCTGCACCTGGAGATCATGAAGCTGGCCTGCTCTAGCATCATTGTCAACCACATCTACGGACTCTTCGTGGTGGCCTGCACCGTGGGTGTAGACTCCCTGCTCATCTTCCTCTCATACACCCTTATCCTCCAGGCTGTACTAGGCAAAGCCTCCCACCAGGAGCGCCTCCGGGCCCTCAACACGTGCATCTCCCACATCTGTGCTGTGCTGCTCTTCTACATCCCTATGATTGGGTTATCCCTTGTGCATCGCTTTGGTGAGCATCTGCCCCGCATTGTTCACCTTCTGATGTCTTATGTGTATCTTCTGGTACCTCCCCTCATGAACCCCATTGTCTACAGCATCAAGACCAAGCAAATTCGACAACGTATTATTAAGAAGTTCGAGTTTGTAAAGTCACGTAGGTTAACCTGAGTGAAAGTTTTTGGATACAGAGCATTTTTGTTTCTTTATTTCAGCTATACTGTGGGGAAAAAATAGCAGGTTCTCACTTAGTAACAACAATAAAAATATTAGCTGTGTAAACCAGCGTCTGTGCAAACTTGGCAGAGTTGCCTGTTTCTTTATTTCTCTGTTCCCTCAATTGAAGAATGAATGTGGAAAAAAGTATAAAACCTTCCTTCCTCATAGGCATGTTGCAAAGATTAAAGGAGACCATTAATGCAAATCTCTAACACAGTGCCTGACAAATACATAATTCTTAAAAAAAAAAAAAAAGTCGTACAAAATTAGCCCAAACTAGTACATAAGTTTCATTTTCAATCATCTGCTCAGCAGAATTTGATAGCCGTCTTTTTTAAACTTAGGTTTAATGTACTTGGCAACCTTATTATGATGATAATTTTTATTCTTTTGTGTACTCATATCCACACTCCCAGTAATGACTTATTACGAGGACAGTCCTTAAACACATACCCACCAAATGCAGAAAAGGAGACAATACCCTGGAGGTTTGAGGAAAGATGGCAAATTGAACCAGTATAGAAATATTTGTGGATAATTTTCAAAAGGGGTAACTGAGGCTGAAGGTTATCACTCACCAGGTGAGTAACTACTCAGGGGACTTGATTTCTTCCATCAGCTATTATATGTGCTACGCAGGTGGAAAGTTGCAAGACAAACATATTTCACTCTTCACAAGGTATTTCTCTCATCTTTGTCCAGCCTTATCAATGGTGTGTGGTTACACATGCACACATATGCACATACTACTGCTGTGCTTACTGGGTTTTTGTTGTTGTTGTTGTTGTTGTTGTTGTTGTTCCTGTACCTTTCTTGTTTGTGTTTGGTGCATATGTCCAAGTTGGACAGTTTGTGTAAAATCATTTCTGTCTTATTATCACATTTGTCTAGATATATAAGCAGCAAACCATGGAACTTTATAGTCTCACGTAAGACAAAGTGTAATCCTCTAGGACCTCACCTTAAAGACCGAGGACCAGAAATTTTTGGCTGAATAACTTCTGCTTGTCTTATGCCAGATACAGAAAAGGAAGCTGTTACAAGAGAAGCACAAAGCCGTAACATTTCACTACAAAGAGAAAGCAGATAAAACTAGCAGTGCTACAAGAACACTTAATACACTTAAAACAGTTTTAGGACTTGGCTTTCCACACGAGGAAGGCAGCATGAGATGAAAACTTTGAAAGTCATCATGCTTGCATGGCATACATCCGCACAAGCAGCTACAACACCTAAGTATTTAGAATATGCAGATTCGTATAAACATGAATCCTGAAGGATTCTACTCTCCCTGTGCCCCTACCGCCTTCTGGTCATGTAACTGACACACATGCTGATCCGATCAGTTTTTCTTAATCCATGCTGCCCATTTCTTCAGCTCTCATAATGTCCTAAAACCATTGAGGGGTCGCATCTTAAAATCTGAGTTCTTGGCTGCTCTTTTGTTTTCAGAACCGTAGAGATAAGACTGCTTTGGCTCAGAAGTATGCACCGTGCCTCCTTGTTCTAAGATAATTCCTTCCTTGCAAGGAATCACCCAACCCTCTGCCTATACCAACCTAATATAAACTTAGCCACCTTTGGCATGACTTTCAACTATAATCATGGCCTTGTAGCATAGGCTGCTGGTTTATATGGCGTCCTGCCCCCACCTACGGGGACGCTGTACAGGTAAAGCTCGAGGGGAAACACTCCCTGAAAAGAAAAACGGGCGAGAAAGAGGAGACGGAGCCCAAGCAAGTCCACTTGTCAAGGGTTCGCTTTATTGAACTGCAAGCTTTCCTTATATACAGTTTGTATTTAGAAGGGGTTGAAGAAGTTGGTCAAAGGTTACAGCATTCTTATGGGTATGGGAGAGGGACTGAGCAATTCAGCAACGTGACTGACCACCAGGTGTTCCAAGAGATTACTGCATGACTTATCTTTTCCGAGAACTGTTTGCAAGAGGAAGAGAAAGATAACCTTGCCATAAATTCTTTCTCAAGGTTACTAGTGCAGGCAGAATTTCCTGCTTAAGTCAACTGTTTGTAGAGCTATATTATATTTTTTGGTAATGAATGTTGTTTCTCCAGCTCCCAACAGCGTCCCAGAGGACTGGCTTCTGACTGGCAAAGTGTGGATAGATGCAGTCTTCCCAAGCTTGGTTGTACCTGCTTGCTTAAGACCATCACAAACTTGTTGACTGTTGACCTTCTGAAAGAAAGGAGGGGCAGAGAGAGTCAGTCACACCTCCCAACCAACCAGTTGGCCTTAGCTGCATGGGGGTGAGGGCACAATGACTAGGGGTATATTTTCTGCTTGTCATTTTGTGAGACTGTAGGGTGGTCACAATCCACACTTGGATGGAGACTTTCCAGTGCGACCTTAGGAGGGGAGCACCCACGCTCCTGTGGGTAGACACTCACCCATCTCCGCAAGTAAACCCAGTAAAATCTTTGGTTTCCCCACCTGCAGTTTGGAGAAATTAGACCTCAGTTTGTCATAAGTATGGAAGGAGGAGGGGACCAGAAGTAGTTTGAATCTCCCAGAAGGAATTTAGCTACATCCTCATCCCTGCCTCCCACACTCTCACATGGAGTGTTCCGCGTGGCAGTGCTTACTGGCTTTGTATACAGGTGTTTCCTTCTTTTGCACTGCCCTTCTTAATTTTATAATACTGGAGATTTATCCCCTTTGTTCATTGAATGCACTGACTCTGCCTCTGTCATCCATCTCTAGCCCCTCCGCATTATTCTTGAGGTATGAAGAGTTTATTATTCCTTGGATTAATTAATTTCATATTAATTTCATTATGGGAAATAATATGCATTTTGAATCGCTCTGGATTTCAATCTCTTAATAAGTGCCCTTAATCTGAGTGTTAACTAAAAGGCATACTTGTAACACACATTTTAAAATGGACATAATAGGGCTTCAGAGACAGCTCAGCAGTTAAGAGCAGTGGCTGCTCTGGCAGAGGATGCTGGTTTGGTTCCCACCAACTAGCTAACAATCATCAGTGACTCCCATTCCAGGGGATCCAACATACCCTTTGACGTCTGTGGCCATTATATGCATGGCTATATTTACATACATGCAGGCAAAACATTCATACAAATAAAAATAATTAATTAAAATAGACTGTGAGAGTCGGAGGAAGTAGATAAACACAAGGAAACACTCTTCCAGACAGCTGACCAGTTACTCTTATGAACTCACAGCAGTGGTGAAAACATGGGCAAGCTCAAACCAGACAAAATCCTAGCATAGATTTGGGGAAATGGGTAAGAAAGCCCAACCCCATCTAAGAAATTTTTGTCAATGGATGGCTGCTGAGAGGGAGAGAGGCAGTGTCTTATAGGGATGAGACTCTTGGTGGACCCAGGAAAGTTGAGGGCACAAATCAGAATCTATATGCATATATATGTGTGAGTGTGTATGTGTGTGTGTGTGAGTGCGTGTGTGTGTGTGTGTGTGTGTGTGTGTACATTAAATTGGGGTGGTAAGTGAGGGCATGGATGGGGAGGGTATCTAAATAACATCTAAATATGTTGTACGAAAATCACAAAAATTCAGTGGAAAAAATTGAAAATAGTCTTGATGTTTGTCTAGTAAAATTTTTGAAAATGTGCTAGAAGTATAATTTTCTCAAATTATTTTTATTCAGTAAAATGTGATAGTCATAAAAGGCTTAAATCTTCTCAAATTATCATATAAGCATTTCAGAGAAGAGGCTCAATGTGAAAAAATGTTATAACAATATCACATATATCTACTGAATTAAAACCTAGCGTCACATTCTGATTTGTCTTCTTTCAAAAGTTTAACTTCCTAAAACTGTGCACTTTAAACTTTGTAAATTCTAGCTTCTCCACATCATATTTGTTTTCCTCTTACAAAAGCTTCATGGTTAAGATTTAGAGCAAATAGAACGATCTTCCCTGAACACAAATAATTCTCTGTGATCTTTCTAATTTAAGGATATGAAGAACAGATCAAAGATTAATCTTAAGTCTTTGTGCACCACGATCTGTTGCATGAGGAATCTTCACTGATGAGAGTTAAGAGATGCATTAGCATTCTCTCTGCCCCCTGTTCTGCTGTGTTCCATGAGCCTCAGGTATAGAGGTTCTACTGAAGATGTGTCACTTAGGGCTGGGCATCTCTTAGACACTTATTCACTGTGAACAGTCTCTATCTGTTGCAAAAAGAACACCGCTCTTTGATGAGTGGTGAAAGGCATACTTGTCTGTAATTATAAGAATCCATATTTAGCATACAATAAGAAATTATATTTGGCTAGGGATATGACAGAGGTAAGATTTTATGTAGGATCTATAACCTCTCCAACCATGTGTATTTGGTTATGTTTGCAGTGCCACACATGAGTTCCCTCTCATTGAGAGGGCTTAAAGTCCTATTAGATAGCTCTTGATTACCCCCAAGATAAAAGGGCCATTACTGTACCATTATAGTTTGTCATGCTGGTCATTGTTATGGTTATTAGGTTTTAAAGCTAGGGTTGGACCATTGATTGATATTGTCCCTTAGTAAGTTGCATACTATCCTCTAGAACTATGAGAATTAGTCTTCACAGAGGAGGTTTCCAGGTCAGTCCATTGCTCCAAGTCCTATATTCAAAGTATGCCCTGTCTTCAGCAAAAGGGTCTTAGCTTCAAGTTCTAGGTGTATTTACACAATGTACCTTGATTAAGGGATGTGGCAATAGCCTGTGTTATTTGGAGAGCTTCTTGGACAACCCTGACCAAGTTGAATGGAGGTATATCCTGTCTGGCATTGTGTTCCTTGTCATATAGCCTTCAGATATACACATGCACTCATGTTCAAATAGTGTATATGTATTTTCAGTGAATTTTTGAGCTAATACATTTCCTTCTGGTTTTTGACACCACCTAAGCTTTATTTATCTCTCCTCTGTCTTTTCCTGTCTAACCTCCTTCCCCAGTTAAATA